ATATTTGTATTTATATAGCTGTATCTATACATAGATCGTATCTCTGTATCTTGGTTCAAGTGTGCTTTACTTTGATATAAAAACCCAACAAAGATAGTCTAAGAAACAATACTATAGACTCACCTCATTTGTACACAGATGCATAAAAATTCTAGAAAGATATTACCCAATCAAATTCAGTCACACATTAAAGGAACAATCCATATAAAAGTAGGATTTATATAGGATTTCAAGGATAGCTTAGTATGTTAGGAAATTCATCAAGTCAGCTCATTTATAGATCAAAAGAAAAAAACCAGACATTGATCTTGATGGGTACTGAAAAGCCATTTGATAATATTGATCATTGATATGTGATAAAAATATTCTTTATAAATGATGAATAAAGATACTTCTTTGATATGATAAAGTTGTTTATTTCAAAAAATCAGAAACCATTAATTATCCCCATACTCAATGGGAAAGCTGGGAGGCTAGTTTCTGATTACATAACTGGTATATAAAATACATATAGGTGTGTGTATATGGTGGTCACATGGTGGTGTTTATTACAAGTCACTTATGTTTGCATGTGTACACACATCTGAGAATACAGTCGTACCTTCCAGTTACTGTCAGACCCACTTGCATGTGTTTATTGTTAGCTGCCAGAGAGTGAAATGTTGAATTCCACCGCAGAAGGAGCAGTGGGTGGGTGTAGAGCAAGCATGTCAAACTCAAAGGCTAACACGGGCCAAATAAATGAGGCATGTGGCCTGTGGGCCTCGAGTTTGACATTCTTGGTGTAGAGATTTCTGTGCTTCTGTGATTCCCTAACCCTGGGAGCAGTAGAATTGATTGTTATCATCAACGAGCTGAGATGTTGAGGCTGAAGCACAGATGTTCCTTCAGTGGAACATACCATTCCAGATAGATTTTTCTTTATTTTGGTTGTAAAGTGAGGTTCTGTCAGTGATCTTTCATGTGTGAATATTATTAGCATTTCATTGCAGCAAGACTTTTGCGGGACCCTCTCTGTTAGCATTAATCGAGCTCTTTACAGTGTTTTGTGTGATGCTTGTTTTGTCATTCTATGAATGAGTTGGCTTTTGCCAAGAAAGGGTTGTAAACACGTGTTGGAATGGAGTAATGAAAGAGTGTGAGGGAGAAGTTGATATACTTCTCTTTCCATTTCAGAAGAAGAAACATCTCAATGTAAATAACATGATTACTTAAAGTACCCCAATATTTGAATTACTTTTGTGATTCATCCCAATCAAAAGGGAGTTCCTGAACATTCTTTTCTATGTGTCTCTCAAAGCATTAAAACCACCTCATCCGCCCGGCCGGCGTGGCTCAGTGGTTGAGCATTGACCTATGAACCAAGAGGTCACGGTTCTATTCTCGGTCAGGGCACATGCTCTATCCCCAGTGTGGGACTTGTAGGAGGTGGCCAATCAATGATTATCTCTCATTGTTGATGTTTCTATCTCTCTCTCCCTTTCCCTTCCTCTCTGAAATCAATAAAAAATATATTTAAAAAAATTTACCTCACCCATTTGCACACAAACCCTGAACACTACCCATTCATGCTCAGTGACCCAGCATCTCGCATCTGGACAGCTCAGAACCCAAAGTCAACATGAAGCCATCATTTATTAGCTGGGGAGCGTCAGGAGCCAAGGACTGGAGGTAGAAAGATTGTTCTTGACACCCTGTGATGGTTAACTTTTGGAAACGAGTGGCAGGAGTAGGTTAATCTGGCAGGGGAGAAACGTTAGTATAAACACACTAATTATAAACCAGCTACTGTAGTACCAGCGGCCAGCTGTGGGTGCACACTTTTATTTCCAGGCACCATGCTAAGGCTTTTACAGAGATGGACTGCCAGTCCTCAGCAGCATCCTGTGAGGAAGATACTGCTCACAGATGGCGTTTTGAGAAGTTAAGTAACTTGCCCCAGAGTTTCCAGCTGGTCAGCAGCAGAGCTGGTTTCAAATCAGCCAGGCCCTCTACACCCGAGCTCAGACTCATAACCCTGCTCTGCTCCAGAAGGCGAGCTCATCGAGGAAATGAAAGGTGGACTGGACAGCAGAGAAGGCTCGTCATGGTTAAAAGAATGACTGGAAGGAGCCGAGGGGAAAGCCAGCCATAGATAACAGCTTTGAAACTGCTGGGCCCCTCTCACACCCTTAGTTATTACAGAAGAAGGGGATGGAGGTGTCTTGTATGGTTGGAATTACCTGCTTCTGAAGCAAATTCTGATAGAACACCAGCTGGGAGTTCCTTGGGAACTGGGAGCATTATCTTTTTAATTGTATATTCATTGCCTGACACAGCTCCTGCATATGTTGGGAGCCCCATAAATATTGAAGGGAGTGACAGTCTATTGAATGGATTCAGCTGTTCAGAGTCATGGTTAAAGAGTGACAGGTGTGACTCTGGAACCCCGGATTGAAAGTGAGTTGTGCCATGGCCTCACCAGGGCTCAGCACAGCCTGGTGGGAGGGATTAGGTATCTAATAGGAGGAAACATGGTTCTTTAGAGGAGGCAAACTTTTTCTGGCTCTCAGTGTTAGGGGAAAGTTTAGTTTGCAGAGCCTGGAGAGGACATTGAGTAACAGAGAGATGGATGCTTCCAACTCACTTAGCACATACTTATTTAGTGCCTTCCAGGTGCCCAGCCTTTAGCTTCCTTTCTCCACCTGCAGTGGCTTCCCTACCCTGGGAGATGCTTCTGGGATATGAGCCACAAAAAGTGTGAGGTCATAGGAGACGCCCCTCAAATGGCATTTACCTCTCTAGGTGGAGTTCTTTCTTTGACTGCAAAGGCATTGATGGTTCATCTATGAATAGCATTTGCTCTTTGTTACCCAAGTCTGGTCCTGGGTTATAAGGATGAACCAGACACCATGCCTGTCTTCAGCGAGCTCCCAGCTCTCAGGGGTTAAGTAGATGTGTCCGTTATGATCCTCAGGAAGCAGGGTGAGGTGCAGACATAGTTATGTCTGCCTCCTGGGGTCTTAGCGCCATGTCTGTAACAGCAGTTCTGCAGAGGTAGTGCACTTAGCTGGAGCTTCTAGAATGTCCCTCCCTTTTTCTTTGGGATTGTTAGTAACGACACTTGGAATTTCTTTTGTGAAGTTCTCCCTCTTGTAGCTCTAGATATCAGAGAAAATGGATTTGTTGTTACCGTGGGTTTTGAAGATAAAAGTTATTGGGCACTCCAGGATAGATCTGTTCTAAGATTTTTTTTACCTTTTTAAGCACAGTTCCTTTGATTTAGACTCACCTCCAGAGATTTTTCTGTTCTTTCCCAGCAATAGCCGTCAAGAAGAATGCAAAATATGGGCAGCCTTTGGCCTGCCATCCTGCATCTCTTTGCTGCCGCCTTCTGCAGCCTAGTGGCTTAGAGGGCACATGATAACCCTGCATCAGACAGACCGAGGTCAGTTCATCACTTACTGCCACGTGTTACTGGGCAGGCCACGTGACTTCTCTACACCTCAGTTTTCCCGTCAGTAAAAGGTAGCCAATAGCACAAACTTGTAGGGTGGCTGTGAGAATTAAGTAGAGAGCATCTGGCTCAGTGCTTATGGTGGACAGGAGATACCGTGTACCTTCCTGCCTCCCTTCTGATCTCCTTGGGAGGAATGCCCTCCCCACCATTGCTTGCTGCCTTGGTGGAGGAGTGAGTCTGAGTTCCCTGCCCTCCTTTGGCCCAGGAGTGGCCGTGTGACCTGTGCCAGGGACTTCTGTAAGGAGAGCAGAGATGCTTGGGAGGCTCCTGGGCTCAGCCGGTTCCTGTGCTGAACCTGCCGGAGCTGCCCAGGATTCAGCCCTTCTCTGAGCCCAATGCTCTCACTTTCCTGACTGGCACAGCGAGTCCTTTTTAGCTTAGGAGGGAAGTGTTTCTGTTACCTCCAAAGCCCACTGGCTCATCTGTGGCTTGTGATCGGCAGATGTCATTTCCTTCATTCCCTTTCCATCCTTGCTTACCAGGGCTGCTTTGTCCTGCCTTCTTCATCCCTCCACACACCCAGCGCGCCCCCCCGTCCTGCTTTGCCCCTGCTGTGTGCTCACCTTGGGCCTATCTTCATGCTGTCAGTCCACCCTCTGCAGACAGATCTTGACTTCCTCCCAGGTGGTGGGACTCAGCTAAACTGTTGATTGATTTTTCAAATTTTAGGATACTTATCATTTACCCTGTGAGTGTATTTAGTCCCTGAATTTTTGCTCAGGGGTGACGTAAATGGTATATTAGCAATGTTTATTCTCATTATGATGGCAGAGTTACTATTAATGGAAAAGTAAGCTTCAGCATCAAGCTCATAAAAAATACAT